TGCTAGTATACGCTAAGATTTAGGGTCACCAAAAAACAAAAATTGCTCAATATAAATGTATGGCAAGTTTAATAGCTCCTTTTTGTAATTAAACTTGTCTGTTAGATTAAGGCAATTTTTAATATTAAATTTGTAAAAGATAAAAACAATAAAATAAAAACTGAAAGAAGGGTTATGGCTGTAAAAAATGTATTTCTGGTGTAAAAGGTTAAAAAGAAAGGTTTTTATGAAGAAGGAATTTTGTGTAGTGAGTTTTTGTCTAAAAATAAAAAGGCTATATCAAAATAGGAGAGGAAGAAGACAAAAACTAGAGGATGTAAAGTATGTTAAATGTTTGAGTTATGTTGCAAAGGTCTAAGAAAGAGTTATAGAAACTGATCAAGTTACTATTCTAGAGCTGGTTTTGCTATCTTTAAATATTATATACAGTAAAACAACTAAAAGAAAAAAAAAAAAAAGCCCCTCCAACTAGCCCAGATGGGGGCCTCACATAGCTGTGAAGTTAGCCTGTGAGTCTGTCTCACTAAAGCCAAGCAGACTGCTTTCACAGGGGCCTTGGTCTGTAAGGATGCGCCATGAGGGTCCTTAATAATAGTACTGCAGACACCAGAGAGCAGCAGCCCTGCTCTAGTCACTCCAGAGGCTGACTGCAAGTCAGACATTGTCAAAAGTATGGCTCAGCGGCTCCACGACCATATCGTCTAAAAGGACAGGCTGCTGCTGACTCATGGGATGGTTAAAGTGGCCTCTGATACCAGTAAGCTCCTTGGTCCTCGCTTCCACTGAGTGCTCTATTCACCGTGCTTCTAATCTTAGTGTTTTGCTCTAATTTACTCAGTTTTCTCACCCAATTTGTCTCCCACAAGATAAAGCCTTTTAATATTACATGTTAGTTGCCTCTGGACCTAGGGCCCAGCTACACCAGATACGACCCCATTGTGGAGGAACAACTCCAAGACAAGTGAAAAATGAAAAAGAAGAGACTCCATCTTAAAGAAGCACCTCCATCATAAACTCCTAGATTCCTGTGACTAGAAACTTGGCTTCTCCTCTGTGCCTAAGAGTAAACAGTAATTAACATTCCTATTGTCTTTAAACCCCACTCCTCATAACTGCCCTATTTATATTGAGATGGTGATAAAATAATTATAACTACTAATCATTCTAAACTAATGGGGTAAGATCCTCTTAGACTTAAACAGCCTCACGTCTAAACTCCCTTTAACTTTTCACCTTCCACGGAATCACTCTCCCTTTGCTTTTCAGCTTATGGTGTTAAGCCTCTTCCATTTTATGTTACTTTTTCCCCTATAATTCAAGTTACAGGTTCTCCGTTAGCCACAGGACAGCTACTTCCCTCCAGTTGTGATGACCACACTTGTGATGCTTGGACCCTAACTCTCCTTTCTCTTACAGAATATAATCATTCAATTATAGCCACTGCACCTGCTATTCACCCACCTAAGTTACTTTCAGTTTGCCCAGCCTCAGCAGAATATTCCTGGGACAGCATTTCTTCACGGTCTGGCTTTCCAAACTAGACCCCCTGTGTTTTTCCTAAATACATGGTTTGTTATTTCTTAAATAATTTGCCTTTTCTTTCTTTGACAGCTTCCCACATTAACGAATTAACTCTTAATGACAGAATTAATGCCCTAAAAGAACAGTTTTATATTTAGGACAAGAAATTCAAAATATTAACGTCCGGTTAACTACTGCCTGTCATGCTGATTATAAATGGATTTGTGTTACTCCTTTACGTGCATGAAAAAGGCACCGAGGCCTTAGTCGTCTTCTTCACCTGCACCGCCTCCGTTGAGTCAACCCAACCCGGCCCAGGCTGGACCCCCTAACCCTGAGGCTGCCATTTTAGAAAGGGGCTTTTATTTCTTTTTAAAGTTTTCCCTGGGGACCAGCAGATGGCGTAATGGAAACATCACTGGACTCCCACGTACTCTACTGCAGCTGGAGTCCCAGACCCAGAGGCTTGAAACACGCCAGGCATGTGTGTGTGCATGCCTAAAGTCCCGGTAGGAGAATGGAGGAGAAGGGATCATGCCATGACCCCTGGGGGGGGGGGTGATTTCTTGCTTTCTTTCTCTGTCTCTTTCAGATGAGTGCATATGCCTTATAGCAAAAATCTTTCCCCAAAACAAAGCAAAAACTACTCTCTACAAAAAATTAAAATTAAAGAAATAATGTGGTACCGTAATCTGATGTGGTACCGTTATTATTTGTGCTGTAAGTAAAAATGTGGGGGGAGTACTGGAAGCCTCAACTTGGTTTTGACTGAATTCAAAGGGTAGGAGGACCTTTTCACTGCTCAGACAGGCTACAGTGGAAGTGAGGGCGCCCTGGGGGGAGACAAGGCACTTCACCGCAGGTCCTGAGCACGAGCGATTTTTCAGGCAATGAATTAGGACTTTTGCATACATTTTATAAAGCTGACATCTCAAACTTAGCACTTGCAAAGGGAACTTCTGCCCTTTGTCCCAGGCCGTCCCACCACAGCCTAGCCTGTGTCTAATGCCTTCCCGTTGCTCAGGTCAGAGCCCCGGGACAGACGTGCATGCGTCCCTCAGCCAATTCCCCTCAAGTACGAGCAGATCCCCAACACTTCTGCCACTTCCGTCACTAGCATGGTGACCTAAAGTGCCCTCTCTTGCTGGGTCCCTCCATCAGGCACTGGGCTCTGCTGCTGCCACGCTGGCCCTCCTCCTTCCCATTCTCCACACCCAGAGGGGCCCTGGGGGCCTGTCAGAGCAAGTCACTCCTCTGTCCGAACCTTCCAAGGACTCCCTGTCTCAACATCCCAACCTCTGTGCCCTGTGCTGTTGCTTCTCTGACCTCACCTCCTGCTTGCTCCCCTTGGTGACCTCCCCAGGCCACGCTGAGTCCCATGCTCCCCAGCATCAGCCATTCTCCTGCCCAGCAGCTTGCATCAGTGCTGGAATGTCTGCAAGTCACCTGCCCCTCTGCACTCCCCTGTCGCCTCCTCAGGATGCTGCTGGGCCATCCCGCCACACGGTGGCCTGCTGTCCCCCCAGGGTCGCCTCTCCCTCCCTGTTAGCAGCTGTCCCCTAACCCTAACACGCAGTGCAGCACTACGAAGTGTACTGACCTGGCGTCCTTTTCCTGGCCTGTAACAGAAGACCAAGACCCATTTATGCACATATTCAAAAGCAGGCACTTACTGGGCTCCTACTTCTGAGAGCAGAAGCTCTAGAGCCCGGAGCTGGTATCTGGCCAGGGCTTTCGTCATGTGGTGGAAGGGGGACGGCACCAAGAGGAGCGGAGCGGGGCACTCGTCCATCAGGGACCCACTGGCACAGCTGACCCCCCTGCGCTGACCGCTGACCGCTAACCGCAGGTGTTAGGGCTACAATCGTGATTCAGCCTGGACGCTCAGACCAAGGCAATTGCAGCCGTTTTACTCTCAGCTTATTGCCATATCTATTTACGCTTATTGACAGCACTCACCAGGATGGCTGGTGTTCCTCGGCTGACACGCAAGCTCCGTGAGGGCAGAGGTCTGCTTTCTCAGTGCTCATTAGAGACACTGAACTACATTGCTGCCGTTTGGCAAATCTAGGAATGGCAAAATCCCCAAAAGATGGAGAAGTGTAGCCATCTCCCATCGGGGGGTACTTTCTCTTTCTGTCTCTCCACTCCCTCTGCATTAAAAAGGGTTGTGTGTGGAAGCAACTCAAGTGCTCAATGCATGAACAGATAGACAAAAGTGGTAGATATGGGGACCAGCAAGGGGCGTGGTGGTTAAAGGCACTGGACTCCACATGGCCAATGTGGTTTGAGATCTGTACACAGTGGCTTGAAACTCACATAGGACACGCATGCATATGTGCACAAGAACTCAGGAGAAGGGATGGCAGCATGGCCATCCTCCCAGGGGGTGATTTCTCACTTTCCCTCTCACTTCTCTCTCTGTCTTCATGGTGAGTGCATGCACCCCATGGCAAACACGTTTAAAAAACTGGGGTAGATATGAAGGGACTTAGAAATGTTTGTGGAAAATGGAATTAAAGTAAGAGTTTAGGACTAGCAGGTGGTATGGCGGTTGGGTGCTGAACATTTTTTTATTATTAGAGAGGTTTTTTTGCCATAGGGTGTATGTGTTTGCCAGACAGACAGAGATGGAAAACGAGAAATCACCCTCCAGGGGGGATGGCCATGCTGCAACCCCTTATCCTCCTCCATTCTCCTCTTGGGATTTTGCATGCACACGCACACCCCCAGTGTGAGTTTTAAGCCGCCAGATCCAGGACTCAAACCATGGTCAACTACATGTGAGTCCAGCAACATCATCATTATGCCATCTGCTGGCCCCGGGGCACTGGACTCCTACGTGGCTGACCGTGCGTGGATGGAGTTCTAGACCTGGTGGCTTGCTTTTTCACTTTTCCTCTCTGGTGAGTGCAAGTGCCCTATAGCAAAGTTAAAAATATTAATAATAATAGATACAATTTATTTTATAACTTATAAACTTTATTTTATAAAGTTTATTTTGGTACACAAAAATTGTGAAATCCATGCATAATATTTTCGTATTATGAATTTATCATGAACTTTTTAAAAAATTTAATCTGTCTCTCTCAGGGCACTTGCCTGAGAGAGACAGAAAGAGAGCTGAAAATTAAAACATGGGGATGCCAATGACTATGCTTTTATTCGGCAAGTAATTTAGGGGGATGAAATATGCTGTTAATGGGGCCAGCAGTTGGCATAATGGCTATGTCACTGGACTCCCACATAGTCAACCGCGGTTCAAGTCCCGGACCCGGTGGCTTAAACTCACGCTGGGCGCGTGTGCACGCGTGCCCAAGATCCTGAGAGGAGAATGGAGGAGAAGGGATTGTGGCATGGCCATCCCCCCTGGGGGGGGGGTGATTTCTCGCTTTCTGTCTCTCTGTCTCTCTGTCTGGCGAGCGCACGCGCCCTATAGCAAAAACCTCTCCAAAAAGAAAAAGAAGAAGAAAAATATGCTGTTAATGTGTCTGGGAGACAGCCGTGTGAGACACCCTCCAGGCATCACTCACCTAGTGTCCAGGGCGAGGGAAGGGTATGCTCACACTCAGGGCGAGGCTGCACAGAAGAGCTGGGGGACAGAAGTGGGTTGTTAGCATAAAAACCCAGGAACTATGTAAACACCCTCTCAAGCCAACGAGGCTCCAGCTCTATTCTTCAAACAGGGGAAAGTATCTGGGTATGGGACAGACGTGGCGAGGGGGAGGAAAAACGACAGGCTCCAGGACACCCAGAGTCGGGAGTATCGGTCACACACTTTATCCCAGACACCCATGAATGCATTGCATGCCAAACATGACCCCTCCATATTTGATATTAAATTAAGTAGTCGACCGCGGTTCAAGGTCTAGACCCAGCGGCTTAAAACTCAGGCCGGGCGCGTGTGCGTGCATGCCCCAAATCCCGAGAGGAGAATGGAGGTGAAGGGATTGTGACGTGGCCAGCCTCCCAGGGGGTGATTTATCACTTTCTGTCTGTCTCTCTCTCTCTCTTTCTCTGCCTCTCTAAGCGCATGCACCCTATAGCAAAAATCTTTCAAAAAATAAAAAGATGTCTTACAGCACTCAGTACTCAGAAAGCAGAGGGTCCCAAAGCTGCTCCTGGGCACCCTCTTCTCCATTACGGGATGGCCGCCGCGTGGCCAGCTGCTCTCAGTGCCAGAGGCATGAAGCTAGTTTCTGGCCGGAGTGAGAGCACCTGCAGCTGATGGAAGAGCAAGCACAGGCACTCACCTGGAGGGGAGGAGAAGCAGAGCGCGCCTCACCAGCTGGGCCGCAGAAGGCAGAGATGCTGAGTGAGAAGGGAAGCTTGTTCCTGCCGCAGGTACCGTCAGGCTCCACAGTGATCTAGAAAAAACTCACATCACATCACCATCTGCTGCCCCTGCGAAGCCCTGTAGGAAACGAAGCAGGCTGCTCTGCTTCCCGGGAGGCTGGATCAGGGGTCCTGGAGTCAGACACAGCATTCCAGGGGCTGGAGGGGAGGGGTGCTGAGGCTCCAGTGGACACCCAGAGTTCTCAGTACACCCCCAGCGGGCGGGGAGCGGGGAGGGGGTGGAGTGACCTGGGGGTGGCAAGACCACAAGCCTGAGCTGTTCACAGCTGGGACGGGCTGTGTGACATGGGACAGATGACTTCATGTCTCTGAGCCTGACTCATGTGCAAAACAGCGGTTAAGTGACATGAAAGATGGTCCTAGAGATGTAGAAACGATTTCTGGGAAGTTATCGGTGCCTCTGCCCTGACAGAAGAGTCATACATAGAAATAACATTTCTTTAAAGCTGTGGCTCTCAAAGCCGGCAGAACTGCTCCAGGGTTTCTTGGACTCCGAAGAGTGTCTTGAGACGTCACGACAATGAGAGGCGCTGCGGAGTTTAAGGGACAGAGGCTGGGGCGCTCCACAGCTGGACGGGACGGGCGCGTCCCACACACTTCCGCCCCTGCAGGCCTCTGTGCCGGTGGGAGCAATTACTTGCTCTGTGATTACTGAGCCAGAGCCTCATTGGAGGCCTGCTTCTCCCTTTCTCAACAGTCCAAAGTAGACGGTCCCAGCAAGAAGTAGCGGGGCCCCTGGGGCCGCAGGTTCCCGGAGAGGCCAGGTGTCACCTGCCCAGCGCTGTTCAGGTCTCAGCTGTGCAAGAGGAAAGCCTGCCGAGGTGAAGGCTGCACCACCACGTGAGCCGACGTCGCGCCGCTGAGCCGCGCACCTGCGAAGTGAAGGTGGTGAGTTCTGTTATAAGCATTACCATAATTAAAGACAGTTTGAAAAAACAGAAAGGAAGTGGGCGGGTGCAGGCAGTGCACTCTGGCTCTGGGCAGCAGGGCCCGCCCTGCTCACTTTGCGCTTTGCTGCCCAGGGCGCAGTCTCATGCTTTGGTGTGAACAAGAGTCACCTGCGATCTGTGGACCTGCAGGCTCTGGCTCGGGAGGTCTGGACTGGGCCCGGGATTCTGCCCTTCCAGCCGGTTCTTGGTACTGTTCCCACTACTTACCGCGGATCACACGTAGAGCAAGAGACAGAGCCAGTGGTTTTGTCCGAAGGGTCCAACCTGCACTGCTGCAAGTCTGCTCTGCTCAGGAGGGGAAGTGTGAAGAGCAGCTGGGGACTTGGGTGGCCTCCCCACCGTCCTGTTCCGGTTGTGTGGCCTCACCAAGCTCTAACAATGGGCGCAGAGAAAGGGGGACAGCACTGGGAGGACAGTCACATACCATGGATGGCATCCTAGGTCTGTCGTCTCCTCCTCTGAAGCAGGGCCTTAACAGTCATCCTCTGGGTTTCCTTTTTTGTTTTCTTTGTTGGAGAGATTTTTGCTATAGGGCACGTGCTCTCACCAGAGACAGAGAGACAAAAAGCAAGAAATTATTCCCCCGGGGAGGATGGCCATGCCACAATCCTTTCTCCTCCATTCTCCTCTCAGGATCTTGGACACGCATGCACACATGCCTGGTATCAGTTCATGCCACCAGGTCTGGGATTCAAACCGCGATCAACTACATGGGAGTCCGGCGATGTAGCCATTACACTAACTGCTGGTACCCTCTGGGGTTTCCTGACACCAGCTGTCCTTGACTGTATAAACCTGGTTCTGTGCTTACTGTTTTACCTCATTCTTTCTTTTTTTTTTTTTTGGAAAGATTTTTGCTATAGGGCGTGTGCGCTCGCCAGAGAAACAGAGAGACAGAAAGCGAGAAATCACCCCACAAGGGGGGATGGCCATGCCACAATCCCTTGTCCTCCATTCTGCTCTTGGTATCTTGGGCACACACGCACACGTGCCCGGCGTGAGTTTAAGCCACCGGGTCCAGGACTTGAACTGCGGTCGACTACGTGGGAGTCCAGCGACATAGCCATTACGCTAACTGCTGGTCCCTCATTCTTTCTTTTTTAATTGCTAGGGAGTGTGTGCACTTACTCACCAGAACAAGACGGACCGAGAGAGAGAGTCGGAAGGAGAAAGCTGCCCACAGTGGGGTGCAGTCATGTTGCAATCCTGTCTTCATTTCTCCCTCCTGTTAGGATCCTGGACATGTGTGCACATGTGCCTGGTATATTTTAGCAAAATACCAGGTCCAGGGCTCAAATTGCACCGCTGACCACAGGGGATCTGATTCCCCTAACCATTAGGCTAAGGGGATGGACTACTGTTGCTTTCTTTTTTGTTTTTTAGGTTTTTGCCATAAGTTTTTGCCACAAGCACTGGCCCGCTTCCAACACCTTAACCACCATGCCACCTGCTGGTCCCTATTGCTACTTTCTAACAATTGTTACTTTGTAAGGAGGAATACTTTTGCTTTCTTTTAATGGAAGTGCACTGTCAGAGGAGCAGGAATTCAGGCCAAAAAGTGGAAAATTGAAGAAACCAAGAGAAAGCTGAATTGTTCTGCAGGAGAAAAAAGGGAGATTGGACCAGATTGTGAGGTGGTTAAGGAGCCAGATCCCACATGACTGACTGCGCAGTTCGATTCTAGGACCCAGAGGCTTGAAAAACATGGCTGGCGTGCCAAAATCTCAAGAAGGAAGTGGAGGAGGAGGGATTTCATAATGGCCATCCCTCTGGGAGTGCTTTCTCACTTTCCCTCTCTTCCTCTCTTCCTTCTCAGTCTCTATCCTGCAAGCATATGTGCCCCATAGCAGAACTAAAAAGAAACAGGAGAGGGGCTGGCAGGTGGCATGGTGGCTAAAGGCGCTGGACTCTCAGATGGGCAACCACAGGAAAATAAAATAATTATTTTATTTGAACTTCATTTATTCATTTATTTTAATTTGGCCAGAGGGGGACAGAGAGAGAGAAAATGAGAAAGCAAGTCGCCAGGTCCTGGACTTGAACCACAGTTGGCCATGTGGGAGTCTAGCACCCTCAATCACCACACCACCTGCCGGCCCCAAAATAAAACAATTCTTAAGAAAGAAAGAAACAGGAGAGATTTGGGGTCTGAAGGGACGATCCCAGCAGGCTGCCTGAAGAAGGGACTGGAGGGGGCAGTAGCTGCTGTTTGGGGATAGCTCGAGGGGAGAACAGAGGTGTGAGGTGCTTAATGGGGTTCATGGAATTTTAGTGCCGTAGATGATGTAACCCTCCAATCTATATTTTCTACAAAAGCTTCGCTCTAGTCCTCAAAAAATGGATTTTCTTTTGAGAAAAGAGAAGAGAAGCACTGAGTTCTGCCCTAAGGGTGGCCTCGGCAGGAACAAGAGCTGAGCTAAATAATGCCATGGATACCGCATTTATCTTTAGCACTTGCTTTAAAAGTAAAAAGGAAGAACAAAATAACACACACACAACCACAGACCAGGCAGGTGTGGGGCAGGTGCGTCCTGCTGTGAGGAGACTGTGGCAGGCCCAGCTCTTCCTCTGCTACCCAAGGACCACCACACAACGGTTCTTAAGTTTCTTCCACTTTTGTACTTTTTTTTTTTTGGAGAGGTTTTTACTATAGGGTGTGTGCACTGGCCAGAAAGACACAGAGAGACATAGAGATAGAAAGCGAGAAATCACCCCCCCCCAGGGAGGATGACCATGCCACAATGCCTTATTCTCCATTCTCCTCTCGGGATCTTGGGCATGCATGCACATGCTCCTGGCATGAGTTTAAGCCACCGGGTCCGGGACTTGAACTGCAGTCGACTACATGGGAGTCCAACGACATAGCCATTATGCTAACTGCTGATCCCCACTTTTGTTCTTTTATGACTCAAATTCATATTAAGCAGAATTTAAGTGACACTTATTCAAACACAACTGATCAGTGTGGTGGACCAGTGAGGCAGAAGTCCACAGTGAAGAACTGAGACAGTGTAATTTGGTCCCCTCAAAGACAGACAAGTCAAACACCGAAGCTACATGTAGGTAGAATCCAAGACAAAATCCCTCTCTTGGCCTGGAAACTTACATGATTACATCAGTTCTTCACTCTGTGCCTTGAGCTATAGCTTTGCTTTTAAAACAGGCATCGAAGGCCAGCAGGTGGGTGGTGGTTAGGGCACCCGACTCCCACAGTGGTTCCAGTCCTGCACTTGGCAGCTTGCTCTCACTTTCCTTTCTCTCTAGGGAATGCATGTACCTTAGAGCAATTTAAAAAATAATAATAAAATTAAACAAGATAAATAATTTAAAGAAACAGACATCATTCTTTGGCATTTTCTTCTCACTCTTACTTTACAAGCAGAAGCACCTCAGGACGAGAGTGTTACATATGGACAGGGGGACACACGAGCGCGTGGTAGATACTCCTTCACAGGTGTAAGAGGTGCTCTCCCCCGACTCCTCTTCTCTAGTCTCTCTCCTAGAGGCACGCAGTCATTCCTTCTCTATGCCCTTTTCCCAAAGGGCATCTGTGCTCCCTGGAGGCTAGGGGTCAGGGGACCCCCACGGGGAACGGCCACAGCACACTCCCTTCTCCATTCTCCCCTTGGGACCTTGGGCACACACACATGCCTGGCACAGGTGACCATGTGGGATTCCCCTCTCAACCACCAGGCCACAGGCTGGCCATGCAGGCACTCATTTCCTGGGATGCTCAAAGAGGTATTCTCTGGATACAATGCTAAGTAGGATGGCATGATGAGACCCTTTCTGTCTTGGTCTGTGCAGCAGCCTTAAAAGCCGTGAGGAGACAGCGGACAGGACACACGGCCACAGGGAAGTGGCTGCTTCCCTCCAGGACTTACAAAGGAAAACCCAAACTGACTTTGCAAGCCTTAGCCAACCTGGAGGGTATAAAAGGCTCGACAGCTTTGGAGACCCTGTCACCTCTATGTGTTCTCCTCGTGCCCCTATAGGTGTTTTCCTTTTAAGACAAAAAAAAAGTCTTCAAAAAGACTTTTCAGGCAGGATGGGCAACATCCCCCAGAGTTCAAGGGACAGTTGGGAAATCTCAGGTGATAAACTATGGCTTGAGGCCTGAAGAGGCAGAGAATGCAGAGTGACCTGGGGTTTAGTCACATTGGTGTGAGGGCCGAGTGCACTTGTGGGCAAAATCCAAACTGAAATTGGCTTTAAAAGGACATTGCCAGGAGGGCCAGCAGGTGGCATGGTGGTTAAGGTGCTCACATGGCTGACCACAGTTTGAGTCCTGGATTTGGCAGCTTGAAAATCACGCCGAGCATGTGTGCGTGCACATGCCAAATCCCAGAAGGATGAAAGAGAAGGGACTGCAGTGTGGCCACCCCCTGGGGGATGATTTCTCATTTTCCAGAGAGCATCAATCCACTCGCAGGCGCTGCAGTCAGAGAGTCCTAGCTGGGGGATCTCTGAGAAAACCATACGAAAGAGAGAGAGAATCGCAGCCACCTGATGGTGTGGCCGTAGGCAAATGCTTGACAGAGTCAGACCCATGAGAAAGGCCTGGGTTTGCGCCTCGGGACTTCCTTGTGCAAGCTGAAAGGTGGGTGAGGCTGGGGTGAACTGCAGCAAGAGGGCCCTATCGGGGTGCTTCTCTCTTTCTCTCTCTCATGAAAGAAATAATTTTAAAAAATATTTGTCAAAGGGTGTGTGTGCTTTCCAGAGACAGACCGGGGAGGGGGGAGTTCTCCCAGTGGGGCACGGTCATACTGCAATCCCTTCTCCGTCTCTACGCTGTTGGGATTTGGGCACACAAGTGCATGCACCTGGCATGTTTTTCAAGCTGTGGGGTCCAGGACTCAACCCATGTGGTCGACCTTGTGGGATCCAGCTCCATTAATAACCAGGTCATGGGGCCAGACAGGAAATAAGTAATTTTTTAAAGTGTTTGATGAGGACCAGCAGATGGCCTCCGTTATGTTGATGAACTCGTAGTCTAGTCAACTGCAGTTTGAGTCCTGGATCCAGAGACTTAAAACTCATGCGGGGCACATGTGCATGAGTGCCCAAGATCCTGAGAACAGAGGAGAGCAGAGAGGGGAATGCAGTGTGGCCATCCTCTCAGGGGATGATTTCTTGGTTCTGTCTCTCCAGGGAGTACACATGCCCTCTAGGGGAAAAAAAAAAAAAAAAAAAAAACCCTCTCTCTCAAAAAAAAAGTGTCTGATGGAGAGCGGCGCCTGAGCTGAGGGCTGGGAGCCATCGCTGCGAAGACGACGGTGCTTCTGAACATCATGCTCGCTGGTACACCAGGGGCTGGAAAAGCACAGCAGGCGAAGACCTTGATCGATATCAGGGCTGCAGTACATTAATGTGGGTGATTTAGCTCGAGAAGGGCAGCTTTGATGGCTGTGACAGAACACGACTGTCACAGCTTAGGTGAAGACAGAGTAGATGAGTTAGAAAACCAAGTGAGAGAAGGTGGAGGTATTGTCAATGACCACGGTTGTGATTTCTTCCCTG